TGGAGGGTACAATTGATTTGAACAGTGCGTTTTATTGATTTCCTAAGGAGGGCCAAACCGAAACAAACGACGATTTATGACTTCTAACAATACATCTTTGTAATCTGCAAAGGTTTTTTCTGCTTTTCTGTGAGGTACTCGAATGTGGTCATTTTTCTGCAGTGACCACCAAGGCCACGGCCATGGGGAAAATCGATGGGCTCTGTCTCAGTAACGTGCAAACGGGTGAACGATAATCGCGATTGAATGGTGAGCGGATGTGTGGCGTGAGATGTCAGATCAAAGCGATCGATAAAAACCGTGTGAATGAACGATACTCGTACATGTCCTTGCCTGATCACCGATGAACTTAGGTCACTAGGCAAAGTTCATTGTAACCCCAGTCTAACGTGCCCCTGACTGTTCGAGCNAGCGATGCACTTCTAGTTTGTGAATCACGTTATGGCATCACATATTGAACTTAATCCGTCATCTTTGTTTACCAACACTGGTCATAACAAATGTATCGATCGGTTTGAATGTACACTAGCCATAACAAAAGTGAGTGAACGAATAGATGTCTACAGACGCTAATGGCACACATTTTTCAGCAGAAAATCATATATAGATTGTACAGCGAACAACCAGTTTGAATTATTCGAAAGAAGTCAAAGTACTGACGTAACCCCGAAACAGATATTTCACCTATTTTAGATGGCGTGATTTCTTCCAAAAGCGAATTTTGTCTCTTGTTCTCACTGTGTTCGACCTAGTTCATTCCTGTTTTCATCGAATGTGTTGATAATAATGTGATTATCATAGCTAAAACATTTGTGTATTATGGCGGACGCCATATAGTAAATTCTGTGTTTAGCCTAACATTGCAAAGGAATGGAGAAATGTAAGGCATTATATGCGGTAATTTGATTCCTCTGAAGAAAGCTAAGGAGATTCAGGATAACTAGACACTTGAAACTAAAAAGCAACTGAATACCGAATGCAATTTAAACTGAGGATATCATAAAAAAATTAATTTCTTCGATACATAAATTATAGGTAAGACGGTATATTTAAATTCCGTCATAATTAAACAGTACATATTTATGAGCATTGAGAACAAGTAACGGAATTGACGTACTTCTCATCGATCCGATTTATATACTACTTAATGATATCTACTACTGACTAAAATTCTATGTCGCAGTTCCTGGAATTTACTCACTTCGAATTCCCGAGGGGTGCGATATAGCAGGAGATTGTATATATGTCTGTAACACACGATCATCTCTTTTCCCCCAATCTATCTTTGCAGCTCATGTCATGGTGGTATTTGGTTCAACTAGATCCGTGCTTTATCCCAAAGGGTGTACCGCTTTGCCAAAAGCATACTCAATATGCTGCCCTATGGTTGTGTGAAGAAATCGTTCAACTTTGGCGATTGGCCTGCCTCAATCCCGAACTGCGTCCGCTCGCTGGAACCTGTCTATCCGGCCGCTTCCCGTCCGGGTCCAGCGCCACATCGGTCGGCAGTCGGGATACGCCTGGCCCGCTGGGTATCAATTCTTGGCTGTTGCAACAACTAACTCGCCGCTTGAAAGCATTTCATATAGTCGCTTTGGAACAAGCCGGCTTCCGCATTACCAATCCCACTGTATCTTCGGAATCAAACGGATTTCGAGACACATGCACAGCTCCGCCCCGTTCGGGCACTAACGATGGCCCAACATCCAAGAATGGAGGTGACTATCATCGGTTCCGGGGATTTAAACCCGCTTTGGCCGCTTGCTTGTAAGTTGACACCCTACTAAACTATACTCCTTTATATTTCATTATATTAGTTCGTCTGACAGGCCAGAGAAAAATGTGCACGTACTAATCTGAGTTAAGATGAAAGATAATCCCTGAAATGTGGAATGTGCAGTTCAGATTCATTGCACATCCCTTCGCTTTTACTGTGTATCACACTCCTGTGTGTGTGTGTGTGTGTGTGTGTGATGAAACACTCAACCCGAACGCACTTAAGCTGTTAGATCGATCTGTGTGAGACTAATATTGCGCACATCTTTGCACCTCCCTTTTCACGATAATCATACTAAGAGAAACACTGAACGACTTCATCTATCCGAAATTTATTGGTCGTACAGTGTCGGTCGTCGTGCCACCGAACACTGTGTAGAACATTTCAAACGCTGTACAATTGAATACCGAGCTTCTGTTGTGCATCTTAAATCATTCAGTTACACATCAGTGCATTAGTNTATTTTCTCTTTTTTTCTCTCTCTCATTATCCCTTCTCCTCACCACACACTATTTATCAGGTTAACATGGCCTTGCGATCTCCCTCCAACGCATACACTTTCCAGTGCGGAATTTCGTGCATGTGAGTTGAATCGGTCCTGCGAAACTGTATGTGTTTGTGTGTATGTGCACTTGCCGGGTCGTGGCTAGAATCGCCAGGCTTGTCTCATTTGTAGGGCGGTTCGTTCTATATAGTGTTGTCGTAATCCAGTTTCAAGACTGCATCTGCTATCTCATAAATCAAATGGAACTTACCTCACAAACCGCTGTCGTCAACATCGCGATCGGTGGCAGCAGTGCTTTCTGGATCGTTCTCATTGTTTTACTCGTTCGTCGAAAATACACCATTACCACTAGTTATATCTGACGCACACACATCGGCACGGTGAGTTTGGCTCTGCCCATGGGTCACTTGAATATCATTGATGCCCAGATTGGGCCGTGCGAGCCCAGATCAATTTACCCAACAACAAAAAAACAAACAACACACACTGATTGCTCGACGTCCACCGCAGGTGCTGAATTCGGTAACCTGGTGGCTTTGGTTCGATATCCTGGACGATCGAACAGTTCTTATCCGACTCGCGTTTCTCTTTTGCTCTCTTGTGCGCATTCTACACAAGGTCACCTTGCGTTGAGTGTGTGTCCCTTTATTTTCTGATCCAATATGCAACTGAAAAAAGACAATCGTTTTCTTTCGAACATTGCTTATTACATCGATTTGGTTGTGCCAAGCGTGTTTTCTGGGTTGATTGCGAGCACCAAGTGACGTATTCTTCTTTTGAGCATCGTGTGTGTGTGTGTGTGTGTGTTTGTTAGATGTCAATCATGGTAATGATAAAAAAGTAATATCCATTTAAAATCGTTGCTCGTGTTATGTTTGTAGTTTTAAGGCTTTGTTCGGCCTGCGAATTCCAGCCACACGATTGGGGTTACCAGTCGCTATAATCTCATAGTGATAGGTTCACTAAACAGTGTATCTGTCCCCCGTGTCATTTCACTATACTGGGGCGTATGGTAGGAATCCAAAAACACGGTTCCACGAGCAGTCATAGCCAGTCGAACATTCACTGATGTGATCCCTGCAGTGATCCAGGTAGTGCTAAGATTTGAACAATCGCTCCGGTTGACGCCTTGGTGACTTGAACCGCTTCGTTGTCAGTGCTGTTGCTCGACGCAAAATCTTTTGTGCTTTGCCAATCTCCACACCCGAGTTCCACATTCCCTAGTTGGTAAGGCATGCACGCTCGCTGTACATGAATTTGACAGGCATGCATTGGTTCACAGAGACTGGGCGATCGTATGTTCAGGTCGCATCAGGATTTTTTAACTTTCTCATTGCAGTCGATCATCTCCCAGTCGCCTCATTACAGTGTGCATTGTGGTTGTATCACGGTTATCTTGATGAATTAACCGTGGGATAATAAACGTTTGCTTCTTGTTTAGACCTCTCCACCCCTTCCCCAAGTAAAAGTAATGCCGAATGGAGACAGCACAATTGGACGACGACCATGGTGTTGACTCCGATCACGGTACGACACGCCCATATAAATAGTAGGTCGAAGGTACGAAAACGACACAATTGCGCCCCAATCTCCGTTCTTACAACAGCCAAAAACATCATTTGGTTCGCATTCAGGCAGTGTTTGTGTGTGGCTACAGTTGAAAATGAAAACGGCCCCAATTATGCTGCCTATGAAGCAAACTATATGGGAAATTCTACCTGACCTCTTTTCAAGCGCATCCTTTAGTATCACTCTGTGCGAATGAGAAATTCAGTCCATACCAAATGCGGTCGATACGTACCCTGTTACCACTTATCACGCCGTACATGTGACTGAAATTTGTACAGAGTTCGAGTGCGACAGTGTGTGTGTGTGTGTGTGTGTATCTGGGCGATATGACGGGGTGTCACAAACAATGGCACTCGTGAAATCACTCATCATTCTAATGATCATTCTGCTATTTTGTCCACGTAGAAGTAGTAGTAGTAGTAGTAGTAGTAGTAGTAGTAGTAGCAGTAGTAGTAGTAGTAGTAGCAGTAGTAGTAGTAGTAGTAGTAGTATATATGTTCGTCACAATAACTTCGTTTGGACCACCGGGTGACTTTGGGAAAGACAGTTCATTGAAAAATCAATGTTCGATGTTTTTAGGTGTGTTAGATGCTACTAACCGCGACCAGCGTGACGTTAGCGTCTTTATAGAATATTTCATACAAAGTAGTATGGGAGTGGCTGCAAATAAGGTTATTGTGATGAAAATACTTCCTGGGTACAAGTATATGGATAAACTCGCAAAAGATTACCGGATACGCATTCCTGACAAGCGGCACGGACAGTGAAGCTGGTCGTGTGCTTCCAGGGAAATTAATGGTCAGTCATTCCGATAGTGCTCAGTGTAATAAATGTATATATATCAATAACTTGAGAACAAGTATTGCACCAACGCAAGAACAATAATAACAAAAAATGTTTTTTGGTGGTTGAGTTGCTATCCGCCCTGCATACGTGTCTTTGTAGTCCGATTTTGGAGTCTTCACATCAGTCCTACTGTTTTTGGTGATGGTGATGGTGCGCTAGGAACACTTTTTTGACAATCTCGCAGTTGCATTCGACTGCATGAAGCGTGGAGTGTTTGTGGCAACCCTTGTTATTTGTTTTACAGGCCTGATGTTTGCGTGTCACAGACAAACATAAACCACACTGTTAGTCTGCGGGTAGATATAAACGTCATTCAGAGCTTATACTGATAAAATCAAACAATCACGGTCACAAAGTCACTTGAATGGTTGATCGTGTTCGAGTTCCAATAGCAGTTCTCGATTAGAGATCACCTACTGTATGGAGAGGAGTTTTCACAGGATTCTGCTTCGCGACAGTGTGTTTATTGGAACTTATCGTCGCACTATCGTCTGTACTTCCTCATCATTCACACTGGTTCTTTTCTCTGGCCCCACAGATATGCCCACTTTTGTCGGTGCTCGATTAAGCTCACCAACAAACGAATCACCACAGAGTCATCCGGACTTTCCGATGCTCGGCGCGTTTTGCAATTCGCTCAATATGTGGAAAAAATTGACCGATATTCCCTCGAAATTGCACAATCCGATCACCGATGACCAGGATCCGATGGTGCAGCTATTCTCCGACTTGCCAATTCCACGTGATGATGTCGAAGTTAGTAGCCACTGTGTTTGTTCCTGCAGTCATTGTTTCACTCCCGGGACAGTTTAGCTGTCCTAAAATCCATATAGCCATTGTTTTTAACGTCAACATGCTCGCTTTTATATGACTCCTAGAGGTGATGTTTACTTATATCAGCTGACAAGTTCCCACTTATTCTCTCAGTTTGTGCTTCCGATTCATTTCCATTCTAAAACATCTTCGCTTCATTACCCCGGTCACCATATTGGTTCGTAGTAGTAGGCGAGTGGCTGGACGAAATTTCCGAGAAGCACACGACCGGTTTCGCGGTCCTTGTCGGTTATCACATATGCGTATTTGGTAATCTTTTTTCTCCCTTGGTCATTCTTATAGCCTGAATTCCCTATGTGAATTAAGCAACACAAATCTCATTTGCAGCTCGGGGAATTGGTTCGAGACTGGGGTTAGATGCATGTAACCGACAACACTTGATACCGAATCATTGCAATGACTCTTCGAGGCTTGTTCGACTCGATTTAACTCCTCGCATATTCAATGATAGCAGCACAATTGGATCATTTTTATGAATTTCTGTCCTGTCCATGTCTTCGTAATCCGAGACAGAATCAACACGAAGATCCTAATGTCGTACTTACATACACTGGTCTTGAACTCTAATATCACATGTCTAAGCTGTAACAATCTGGGTTTTCCGCTATTCGCCTTGGTGCGATATTCGCACGTCGAATAAAACGAGCTGGTGCAAGACTTTGTTGCCCAGGTTTACGGTTAGGAACTGTTACTTCCCAGATGGACAGCTTACTCGATCTTATTTCGTCCTTTTCCAGTGTTATATTCATATCTGTTTTCATTTACGACGCAATGCACAACATCACGATGATGTTATCACCTTTTACCCTCTGTGCAGCTTGCATTTGCGAAATTCCAAGCACTGAACGCTCACGGACACGCAGAACACGCCTTGATTTGGGCCCGTTATCTGGCCTGTCGTCTGCTCTATCTGTCCGGCGAAATAGTCCGTCAGGCGGAGCTGGTCGCATTCGAAACTGTAACCGAACACCAAACGTCCAAAGCCGGTGGTTCATCCTCGCTTGAGCTGGCCTCGTCGTCCAACACCGGCCCAAATCGGTCCGCGGTGCGAATCACCAGCCTCGAACGAAATACAAATGGCTCGCGTCGTGCCAAGCGAACTACAGCTGGAACCCCATCTGGGTCGAATACGGCAGCCAGTGATACTGGTCATTCAACACGGTCAAAGAGGCCAGGACATGCGACTGACTCCACGGATTCCAGTAGTGATCGTGCAACTCAGTCCAACGCTCGGGCTAGCCGGAAATCTGTCGAGTGGGCTTCCAAGGTTTGTTTCTTTTTCTATCAATTTTTTTGTACTCTGCCTATACTGGATTATTCGCGGTTTCCCTGTCACGAAATGTCACGAAAAGTAGTATTCATGAAATCACTGCAAGTGGATGGCTTTTACTTTATTTTATTGCGGATTTCACAGTGTACGGAGAAAGTGATAAACCAGGAAGCACTGGATACAGTTGTTCTGTCCTGTTCTGATCTCGTCAGTAGTGCGAATCCATTTACCCAACTGAAAATCGAATCCAGGATCTCACAGGTAGAGCGCAATCCTGCTACCCACTTTGACCATCGGGCAGCTGGTTAATCGAACTTTTTTCATTTTCTCCATCCGCCCCGTCTGCAGTTCATCACATGAAAGTGCGTAATAAAAAAGCAGTTCAAATTCCTCAACATGACTTTGGGATGTGGATGCGAGACACACACCACGCTGACACACGTACTGTATAACAATTCATGTTTTTTTGGTCAACAGTCTTTCAGCTCTGCGCATAGCGTTCGTCGGTGATAATCTTTCCATGACACCTGGCACCATGCTCGAATACGCTAAAGCATCTCAAACAGTCTGTACTTCGGAAGCCCTCCACATGGTGGAGGTATTTTCCACCGAATTGAAATAGCCGCAACTCACCATCAAGGGCTATGACCGAGTTTATCGTGGAAACCGGGGACCGCCTCTCCGGAGTGGTTTGTTTGATGTTTTTGTATGATTCAGTCACCCAATGTCCTTGGAAACCGAATGCAAACCGATCATTAGTGTTTGAATACCAGACTCTGCCACAGTGCAGTAGTCTGATGCGAAAATTGATGAAAGTTCATCCACATTTTCGCTACAGTAAACATAAGCTAATCTAATTGTACAGTACAGACGAATGATACTTTTAATAAATCTGTTTTTGCTCGTTTTTGAGCACAAATGAACATCCGTTCGGTTCGGGGAAGCTAATCATTGTCTGACGTATTTCACCTATTGTCACATTTCGCACATCTGATGTCTCCCTGTTCCCTAACCCATCCAATGTTTTAATCATAGATCAGTCGTCTGTTGGATCAGATTCGCAGTCTAATGGAATGTCTGACGCGAGGCTACGATGACTCTCTGGCAAATCCGACCAACATTTCCTCAGCCAGTCGAATCACCAGTAGTGGTCGAGCTTTGCTCATGTTTCGCGGCCCTGATCCGTCCTCAGTCGATCTGCATCTGGACGACACAGCATCCCCAGTGGCTCAGCAAACCGTACATCACAACTCGGCACCGATTCGTGACGAATGGGTCTGCATCGATATTGAGCTGGCCTTTCGTCTGGGATTTCTCGGGCTGAGCTTGCCCCGCCCACCCACGCTCAGTCCAATAATTGAAGTTCGATTGTTCGATCAGGAGGTCAGTCTGCTCACTCGTATGTGTCGTCTACCGTTGCATCGGGCTTGCCCGCATGTCCTACCAAGCATTCGACACGAGGCGATGCGTATTGCGCGTGGTCTGTCAATTTATCAAACGGGTGAGTATTCGTGCCGTATTGTTTCAGATTGATTGGGTTTTCAGTCAGCTCTTTCTGGTCCGAGCGACTGTTTGCCCACTCAACTCTGCACAAAACTGTAAATTGAAATCCAGTATGAACCGAATGTAAAACAATGATGGAACAAAATGTGAGAAGGGCACACCGAAATGTCCTCTCAGAACACGTGCCAGTTAATGTTTTTTGCAAATGGGCAGCCAAAAGACAGCAACCAAAACCGGCGCATGAAAGTGCATGTTTAATGGTTGTACAAACTGAACTGATCTGATGTTTTCTCGTCCCCCGACGAAAGTCCATCGGACAGCTTTGCGACGTAAAACCGTCTCTTTGAGATGATCAAATATTCATCATATCGATTATCTTTTCCTTGGATTCACTCCATCTCATGTTGTCACCCTTGTTACCTACTTCTGTTTGTTTAGTGCCTAATATGTTTTATTCATTCGTCTTTAAGCACGGGGTATGTGACCGGTCAAGGTTATCCAATTAAACAATGATTCTTAGACCAGTTTGTTTGCAGTGCGCGTCTCGCAATCCCAACTAACCTCGACTGATTCCGACTGCAGAAAACGACAACATTTATTTAGGACCTAGGTGTAGGTTACAAATCACGCAAACGGAACAGATTAACAGCTTGAGTTTACTGGAAACCAAAGGTCGAAGTTGGTTTGTCGTTAAAGCTAATTGGACGGGTCATTCTATGCAAGCTTTGCACGGATTTGTGGTCTTGTTTGCACGATATTCGATAGATACAGACTAGTTTGCACTAATCATGTGTTTACAGACTTACTACTTCACTTTACTGCGGCTGGCTCCTTGGGAAGGATTAGCCGGCTCCAGCGTGATCATGATGATGAAGTTCCTTGGGATTTTGGTACGAGAGATGTCCCCAGCGTCACCCGGCGTTTTCTATTTCGAGGGCGCAACTTTAGCCTTTACACAACCAAGTGCGAACTGTAATACAGCAGGAAGTAGTCCCTCTCCTCGGAATTGAGGGGGTCAATGACTTTAGTGTTAAAAGGCCAGTCACATTGACCTGTGTCACTCATTAGGCTTAATACGACTTTGGAACAGGAGCCTAGTGACCAGCCTGAAACCCACCACACCCCAGTAGTGCCGCCGCTGTTTGTTCGAGACTGCTTATTTCTTGCGGTATGTCACAACTTATCCACAGTTAACCTTCTTCGGTGAAGGTATCCCCTTCCTCACAACCCCGGGGGCTCGTTTGGTTGCATTCAGCTCTACTTAACCCCGAGGGTATCCAGGATGTGTTAACAAACGAGCTGTATGACCGAGAAGGTTTTGGACAAGAGCATCAAACCAACTATAGAAGAGCCTATTATTCTATCAGTGTATGAAGTGAGAGGTCGTGAATTATCTTCTATTCAAAGGTGATGACGTAACAACGTATGGACTCGGTTGTCGCCGGACCACCCGACGTAACAAAGTTCATGAACGTGCACAGGAAAACGAACATCTCTATTCTGCGGTTTAAAAACCGCCACGCTATAGACCTCGTACTTAGTCTTTCATTTCTGTTCTGTATATGTCGTCATTCATATTCACATAACAAGTTGGCAATGACGCTCCACCTTTGTTTCATACGAGGTTGTTCTGTCGGAATCAGCATAACCGACTGCGGTCACGGACAGTTTCCGTTCAGTTTGTACGACCTTTAATCATGCACTATCGTGCGTCGCTTTTGGTTGCTGTCTTTCTCCGCCCATTTGGATGAAGTTAGGAGAAAGTCAGGAAAGGTTGAAAGTAGGATCAAAGAGAAAAGTGAGAAGTTTAGTGGACTAATGATGCAAAGAAATTGAGAAGATGCACGAACGCCACTGTTTACGACACCCAGCCATATCACTCAGTATCTCTAACCATCGGGTATGATCATCCCTAGGTCCGCATCCACGGAGCCCAATGGGACCTATGTGACCCAGACTCCTGGTTAGAGTTTTCATACCCTCATGCCAAGTCTTAGCTTGAACACCGTGGGCTTTCTTCCACTCACTACCCGCCTCCGCGAACATCATTCGCCGTGGAAACCTATCTGGTGACATGCGTAGCACACACGATCGCTCGATCAGACAGCCCGCCACCTGGGAGTAAATCGATGCCACTACCCTCACATGAGGATAAGGCTGTATCCATAATCAGATCTATAACAAAGTTAAATAGAAAAGGGGAGACAGGACAACCCTGACGAACACCACTTTCCGTGGAGAGCTCGGGTGAAAACGAGCCGTAAGCTCGGACTCAACTTCTGCTATGAGTATAGAGCGATCGTGTGTGTTACGCATGTCACCAGATAGGTTTCCACGGCGAATGATTTTCGCGGAGGCGGGTAGTGAGTGGAAGAAAGCCCACGGTGTTCAAGCTAAGACTT